CCCCCGCCCCATGTCTCTTGCCTACACACTCGTCTGCTCTATCGTATTCTTCTCAAGTCCTTCCTCTCTGGTTTGCTCCCTTCATAGTATGAGCACAGCGTCCCACTTACCCCTTCAGTCACCTTCCCATCTGCTCTAACCTCCCAATACACTGTCTGAAATCACTGTTTAGAGTTCACGCCAGCCAGACCACTTCTCTTATTTAAAATGCTCCCTCTGTACTCCACTGACGTGGTTCTCACTGAAGTTTCTAAGGATCAGTGCTGACCAGGCTTTGGGGTTTATCCTCCACCCTCATCTTAGTGTTTAACTGTATCTTGGTTGCTGCATGCATATGAGATTTACAGTCTCATATTTAGATAGTAAACTCAGTAACTGGGAATTATCTTTGTTATATGTGTGCGAGACCCGACAATTTAGGTAGTGCTGCAATACAGTACTTATTTACAATGGGGTTGGTTTGTTTGTTTTTTAAATATTTCTCCTTTAAGTTGTTGTTACTGCTGGGAATAGCTGGTAGTAATCCTTCCTTAAAAGAACACAAAATAAAATTAGAAATGCAAATATTAATTATTTTGAGAAAAGGCAAACTTGTTTTAAAAGACACTAAACTGTTGAAAATCAAATTTGGAGAAGGTGCTGCAACTCAAATGAACTGTATCGAACCGTGGCAGGAGATGGAAGGCTCTCATTGCTAACGCAAGGTATTCAGCGAATCCTGAAGGCAGCAATACTGCGCTGCATGTTATCAGAACCGTGTCAGTAACGTTACCTGTTCTTTTTCTAGATGAGAGTCTAGAAGGCTCATGGCTGAACAGGAGTGAAAACATACATACGCCAGGGACGCTGCAAGCACCACAGCTCACCTCAACTGTCTTGAGAGAGAACACCAGACAAATGGGAGAGCAGATCCAGGAGCACGAGTCAGAGCAGGGATCTGAACAAGACTTTTTACACAAGTAAGTGTTGGAATTATGGTTTCAAATACAGCGAGCCAGGCAAACGAGATGCATGTTATTTACACGGATAGTCTGTGGCTCCATAAATGCAGCATTTATTTGCAAAACCTGCAAATAAATGTCTTGGCTATAGCTCAGCAATACTTCGATTATTTTCAGTTCCCAGGAAAAATAAGTTGTAATGAAATCATGGTAGAAATTCCTTGTGTTAAAATTATCTCATGGCATAATTATGGTTAAATCTTCCTAGTGTTTGTGCCCCCAGGTTGGACTGAACCGTTTCTCTAAAAAACCTGTTACAGGTGTTCCCTTTTCCTTCCCTCTGCCCTCTGTCATACTAGAGTTAAGGTTCTCCAGACATCCTCACCGATTTCTTGTAGATTAACTCTTCAATCCAGTTCTAGCTGCCGAGCTAGTAATTCCTGTTTCTGAGGTAATTGCCTGCAGGCAATATTATTTCACCTTAAATTATGTATATCTTTTGTCACTCAACTCCCATTTTATCACCCCCATTGAGAAGGGAAAAAATGTTGGTGATTATCTGTCAGTAGTTTATTTAAGAATAGAGAAGTCTTCAGAGAATGCTATTAAATTGTGCTATTTCTATTAATTTGAATCTGTTCTGGAGACTATTTTTATAACTTTTATAGCCAATTGTACTGATCTGATTTATCTGTATAAAAAAAGTCATATTATGCTGGCCAGATAAATCAGGTTTCTACCAATGTAGTAGAGTATAAAGCAGCCAGAATATGCCTCTTGGTTTTCCTCCAGCTTTTGTCCATTGTGGTTTCCTTAATACACATTCCACAGCTTCCCAGTTCTTCCTGAATGTGCACTCACGCTGCTCAATCCTAAACTTTACTCGCTTCATCCTGCATTCTTTAATCATAGTATTTTCTAAATAGAAATAATTAATAATGGTCATTCTGCCTGGGAAGGTGACATGTTCTCCAGACTCAAATGACAAGGGTGTATGTGTAGCACCACGTTGTACATATAAGCTGTTAAAGTTTACCAATTTGTGAACAGAGGTTCTCAAAAAATCTGAGTGACTTCTGAAGAAACGTAAAGCGTAACGTATTCTTCTCCCTTGCTTGTGTGTGTAACATTCACAGGCATCATCAGCGCAACAGATTAAACCTTGATATGATCTTGTGCCCACCACAAGAGATACTTGCAGCTCAGCTGGCTACAAATACCTATTAATTTTTGGAGCTCATAGTATTTGGCATTTCCATAAACGAGTTCAGACAACTTTCTTTCCCCATATTTATTAACCGTGTAACATCACCGTAAGACGGCGTGAGAGAGGGCGGCAGGCTGGCCGGGCCGGTTCTCGCTGCAGGTGGGTGTACGTGTGGTCCTGCGCAAAAGCCTAACGTTGGCTCAAACGTTCCCAGCCGGTGCTGTCCGGAAGGAAGGAGGGCTCATGTGTAAACAGGCGAGCGCAAAGCAAGCCTGGGCATGGATTTCCTCACCTACCTCGTTCAGACTGGCAGGTAACCCCAGCTGGCCACAAAGGGAGGACCTTCCCCTTTTCGGGGAGGGGGTGGGGAGTTGAACCAGGCTCTTCACCCTGGGCTTGAACCTCCATTTCTCCTACCTCAGATGAATGCTGTGGGCAGAGAACTGTTGAGCAAAGGCAGACAGCATCGCTCTCCTCGCCGCTGCTTTCAGAGAGTTGGATTCCACAGTGTGAACCAACAGTGGAGAATCCTCTCCTTTCAGCCTGGAGTTAGCGGCCCCATGCATTTCCTGCAGCTCAGTTTACGAGACCTAAAACATAAAATAAATACAGAGCAGTCAGTCGCTGAGCTCATGGGGTTAATTGTGTCCGGCAGGCTGTTTTGTAGGTTGTCTTCACGTGGCTTACCCTGGTTTATTCTGTCCATCTTATTAGAGTACAAGACTGCATAATAAAATAAAAACTGGTGTTGCTCTTGAAGAGCTGCACTTGGTTTACTACTGTTTCCTTGTGCTGCAATACACAAATAGTAAGAGGGCATTGCTGTGTACTACTGGGTTTAGATGGTATTAACAGCACAGCCTTTAAGGTATTTAGAAGTGGCTAAGTTACTGGATGCTTAAGTTGATCAGGGTATATATTTAAAAGCAATTTGGTTTTCATGTTGTGTGACTTTTTTTGTTTTAAAATGTCTGCCAGTTACTACCTTGGATCTATTCCTGCTCATATTTTGCCTGAGACAGTGAAGTAGGATTTAATAAAAACAATTTTAGACTTGCTCCCATTTCAGGTGCATGTCACAGTAATGAACGAGTGACGTTAGTATTTTATGTAGCTGTTTTTATTAATGGATTTTTTTTGTGCACATACAGTGAGAGGAGACAAGCTGTGGAAAGGAATCCAGAAGATGTGTACAATGATGGATGTGATTTAAATATCTTAATCTGAAGCATGGCCAGACACAAAACTTGAGGAGATAGATATTGTCTAAAAATAGCCAACTCAGAGTTGTTAGTGTTCTCGGTGATAATGCTGCTTTGTGTTTGTTAGTCCCCAGATGCAGATATCTTGGTTGGGCCAACAGAAGCTAGAAGATTTAAATCGAAAGGACAGGACAGGAATGAACTACATGAAAGGGAGAACTGGTGTAAGGCATGCAGTGTAAGTGTTCAGAGCATCCTCATCTCCAGATCAGAACCGTTTTAAATGTTACCTTTTCTGGGTTGCTGCCAGTAATCTCTGTGACATTTTTAACTCTTATTAATGAAGGCAGAGTAACCACTTTGTAATGCTGGAATGGACACCAGGCCATGTGGCCCTCTAGCCCAGCATTCTGCCTCCAACCATGGCCAGAAGCAGGTGCCTAGAGAACATGGCAGACAGGCGTGGCTCAGTTCCCCGTTACTCTCTCCCAGCCTTCAACTGTTTTCCTTTCAGGGGGTTCCACAATTTGCCTGTTAAGTAACTCACCATGAACCCTTCCAAGTTGTTGTCCAGTCTTCCTGTGAACCTCCTTTTTGGAAGAGGGCAAGCAAACACAGTGAGGTTATTGCCCTTTTCTTGCTAGGGACAAATTTAATTACTGTTTATGATAATATTACATGGGACTTCCTGCTTCAGCTTCTGCAACTGCTGCTAGGTTTGTTTTTACTTAAGATTTTTTCCAGTTAATATTACAGAAAGCATGCTGGCTTTATCCTCAGCATAAGGTTTTCTGTGAAGACATTAAGGGATAGGATGTGTGCATTCTTTTTAATGACAAGATCACGGTTGGGAAATTTAAATGCCTGGAAATCACTTTTTCTTTCTCTTTATTTAATCAGACGAGGTCTAATGGAAGATGACGCTGAGCCCATCTTTGAAGATGTAATGATGTCCTCACGAGGTCAGCTAGAGGATATGAACGAAGAATTTGAGGACACAATGGTCATTGATCTGGTCAGTAAATCTCATTAATAGCAAGTTTAAAATGGATGACAGGTAATTTAAAAGGAATTTTAGAAGCGCAAAGAAAAACATCCAAAATTTTGAACCAGATTTCCAGCTGTCTGAACATTAAAGAGCAGAAATGATTGTAATACTCCCTAGAACCTACAACTGCAGACTCGGGCCCGATTGATTTTTTTTTCATGGAAACACAGGGAGCATTGCTTAGCACTCCTCCTCTCTAATATTCCGGACTTGGGCAGTAGCAAGTGCCCAAAGCACCATCGTGCACCTGCGCAGGAGGAGCGCTGGGTGGGGACAGAGGGGAGGCCAGCTCACCCCATCTGCTTGAATATTGCACAAAGCTGCCTGATTGGCCTCAGGAAATACAAAGGGGCTCTCTAAAATCCAGTAGTAATGTTCTATTCCGGTGGTTAGGTGACACTGTGAAGAGTTTGGAAACAGTATCATCTAAAGGCAGTATTCTAGGTGTCATTGCCTTCCCTATGCTGTTGTTGCAGTCATCACCAACTCTGCTGCTGATGCGGCTCTCTATGCAGCCACACTGTGGTCAAGCTGCTACAGCCAAGTGGTTTCTCTTTTTCCGTTTTCCTGGTTGGTTTGATTTCTGGGAGGCGGGCTGGATAGGGTATGCTGAGTCAAGGTCTGGTCAGTGTCCAGACGGAGCGTGCCAGCACAGCAGAAGAGGGAGCAGGCAGCAGTGGGTGGGCATGAGGTGATACCTTACACTGAGATTGCTCCCACACTGGTTGTATCATCAGCTGGCAAGCTCAGATGCTTTCATGGTATAACGTACTGACTACAGAGAGGATTTCCCTTGTAGAGGTTATAACCGTACTAGCCTCTCCGTTTGGAATGAAAACTTTGCCTGTAAAATGGGAAAAAGGATCCATTTGCATTATACGCTTCACCGTTTTTATGCTTTTCTATTTCTCCTTTCATATCCAAGCAATAAGGCATAGGTTACTTTAGGACTGGGCTATAATGTCTTGGAAGGAAAATTTAGGCAATAATTCAGTTGCTGCTGTTGAATACTGAGATTACTACTAGCATTCAAATGGTTATCAAGTAAGTAAAATCTCTCTTTTACTGGTAATCCAAGGCAAGGACATGAAGGCATTGATGATCAAGCAGTGAAGCTCACTTTTACGTTCCTAGGGAAGGACAACACAAAGCGTTTAATCCTCAGAAATATTACAAAATCTTAAGTACCTTTTTTTTCCTAGAGCCATTTCTAGACCATGTCAGAGCTGAAGTTTCACTGTAAACTTAAAAGCATAAAGAAGGACAGCTAAAAGACAGTTTTTATGTAGCCTAGCCTACAGTCCTAACAGAAGATCATGGTGAAGTCAAGTCAGCAAGAGCCTTGACCAAGTCCTTAGCTATGAGCACAGACTTAAAATTACTTTAGAATCCATCACCTTTTACCCCACTCCTTAAATAAAAACATAGATTTAAGAAGTACTCTCCTACATCAAGGCCAGCATTTCTATCAACTTTTATGAACAAAGCTGCTTTGTAAGGGCAGAGGTAACCACGTTAGTGCCCGTTAACTGTAGAGCCATGCGACTCCTTTATACCCAGGTAACTGACGTGATGTTCTGACTCTTCTTTCTAGCCACCTTCAAGGAACCGGCGAGAACGGGCTGAACTGAGGCCGGACTTCTTTGACTCTGCAGCTATCATTGAGGATGATTCAGTAAGGCTTTACTAGTAGTGTTTGCTGTTCTGCTGAGGTTCGTTTTGATTACCATTACACTTAATTAATTACTGTCCTTTAAATCATTTTTCTAGGGATTTGGAATGCCTATGTTCTGAAGTCTGGTGAAGACATTTTACAAATTTGGAACTCTATTGTTTAGAGCTAGAGGCCTATATACTGTGATAGCTTGTATGAAAACCACATTTTTGATGTGATACGGTTTGATTTTTAACCAAATGATTGAGGTCAATCCCTTTTTGTAGTGACAGAAAGAAGAGGAACTTCTTTAATGACACAAAGGAATGTTGGCCAATCCAGTCACCTCAGAAGGGCTGACCTAAAAAATCATTTGTATCCCTGTTCTTGACTGTCCTAATACAGATTTTTTTTTTTTTTTCCTGGATGAGGAGGAAGTTTTAAATTGTTAAGACAGCTGTCGAAATAAACACTGTTCTATGTATGTTTTCTGAAAACAACATTGAGTGAAAACAGAACTTTTTAACTTTATTTTTCTGCTGTACAATTTAAAACAGTTTTAACATTTGCCTTTTTATGTTTTAAAAGCTAGCCATTTTTATTAAACCTATGCCTATCAGCCATTGACTAGCAACGATGCTATAAGCAGGTCATTCTGGCTACAGAAAAGTGTTTTTGAACACACTGGATTTGATTAACATTATGGTACGCTTATATCCTCTCACAGGCATCGAGAAGAACACTCTTATAGAAGAGGTTAGAATTCTAATGACGTGCATCTCTGCCAAAAAATTTCAGATTCTGATATGATAAACCCAGATTTTATACTCTTGAGAAGATTTATTTTTATTTATAATGGGACACAAAGTAAGAGATGTCCATGAAGCCACTTTTCCAACAGATGCTGTGTAACATTCATTTTATATAGCACATGGGGACACAAAAACAGTAAATTTTCTATTGGTACTTGCTCTGTGCATTTTTAGCAACTTATACCAGCAAAATAAAGTATTCTCAGTAAAACACACAAATGGTTCTCAAGTAATCACTTTGCTGTTTTTACTACCTACTTCAAGCCCTGCCAACCCAAGGTACATAAACAGCAACTTTCCTATTTAAAAAAAAAAAAAAAAAATCATTCAAGGGTGGGGGAAAGGAATCACTTTAGCATACTAAAAGCAATTTTAACTGTACCATAAAAACAAAGTCTACTTTCCATGCCGTAAATACCCTTTTGCGCTATTTTTGTAAATTAATTTTGCCGGTTAGAAGTACTGTATGTGCTGCATAGAAATTTGTGCTTAGATGGTGAAGTTCTTAAGCTTACAATGGAATACAGCTACATTTTCAGTGTTAACTGTGCATATTAAGAGTAATTCTTTGGGGGGAAAAAAATACGGTTTTTCAAAAAAGTTAAAAAAATCAAAAAAAAAAACCCCAAAAAACCAAAACATTCTCAGCTAATTCATTGTAATAAGAGATTTTTCAATGTCTTCAATAATTTGGAATTTCATTATGCTTCAATTTTATGACTCTGCCTAGTAGCTTGCTACTTAGTTAAAACTGGCCCAATACCAGAGGTGCTGGCCATCCACAATTTGCACTGACTCCAGTATGTCTAAGAATCAGCCCCAAAATGTTAATCTTCCTTTCTGCATTCTGCTATTAGCATTTGAGATACAAAGCAGATTGACCCACTTGGAGCACAGCAGTTTTAGAGGTGCTTTTTTTAGCAACCGCAGAATAATCGTGGAGCTTTTTTCTGTTACGAGCTTGTTGAAAAACAGAACAACATTAATGCCCAGTGCTTACTTACTGGGAGGGAAAAGAATCTAATTTTGAAAACAAACCAGCGATTCATTTAGCTGAGGTTTGTTTCTTTACAACATGTGCAGTTCTCAGACATGGTTGCCAAAAATGTTTGACTAGGTAATTCAGCCATTCCTCAGATGTCGGCTGGGTAATGCATAAAACCCGAGAAGTAGCTGGAACTTCATAGAGTAACGTTACCTCCCTTCCTCTTCTGTCCACCCCAAGTGTAACAGGGGTGGGCGGGAATGGCTGCATTAAATTGTCATCACAATAATTCTGTGAGCATAGTAGCATAATAAATGCTGCCTGGTTTGAGTCATAGTCTCAGACAAACCTTGTGCTTCACAGTCCTCTGTGTGGAAAACTGATTCCTAATTTAACATTGTAGAATACTGTATAACAAACATTTATTATCACGGTACCTGCAATGGGTTTCCAGTTCAGTTTGCAGTCAATAGGTTTTTGTATTATGAGTGTCTCCTTGATTGGTTTTGCTAGTAATTCTGTAAATTGTACATTTACAATATGAGTTTTTTTTTCCTTTTGTACAATTTAAAACTGATGCTTCACCTTTCATTTAATAAACTATTCAAAATCATGAGTATGATGAGCACCCTCTTCACTATTAACTTTCTTTTAAATGCTCGTTTGGACCATCACATCTTGTCATCCCATGTATTAGCAGCCGAAGGGAATACCAAAGGTAGTTCTCATGTAGTCCCAAGCTTCACAACCAGATTCTGAACAGCTACCTTACCCATTCTGCCTCAGGGCAACAGAAAACCCTCTCTGATCTTTTTTTTTTTTTTTCTTCCTTCCACTGTGGTGTATTTTTGGTTGATCTGGGGGATTTTACTGTGAGATTGCCGTAAATTTGGTAAGTCATCACATAAATGAGTTGGGAGAGTTGCATTGTTAAAACTTACTTATAATTGTTTGAACTGTCACAAATTTTGAGAAAAATTTCACTCTCCTGCCCTGTACGTCTGAAGTGAACTGGACCACGTGGGAAGAAATGGAAGTGGAGAAGACTTGGAAGGTCTAACCACCAGCTGGACTAAATGAAGTTTTACAGATTCCTGAAACCCAACGACCTCTTGTTATTCCCATGTCTGAGAGAGCAAGGTGCTATTTTTGTCCAACCCACGAATGATTTCATCTCTGTAGCACTAAACAAAACAGACTTACTTATCATCGGGCCCACTTCCTACAGAAAAATCATCCGAGTCAGAAGTACCAAGATGCAGCAGGTGAGGAACAGGGGTAGGATTCAAGGTCTGAACTGCACTCGAGGACTCCTCCCGAGACACAGCCTCAACACCAAATATCCAACTGCTTCTGAGTTATGCTCAACTCCTGTGGTACACAGTAAGTAACCTGTCATGCTTCCAAGGTCAAGGGTCGCTCTCTGTTGAAAGGATTTTACTTTTTATCTATTGTTTCTGCAGGTGACTGGAATTACAAGAGAATCTGAGAGTGGGGCCAGAGCAGCTTTCCAGTGCGTTGTGCTGGTACAGCAACTGTGACTGCTTGGAAATTGAGACAACAGAACAGCCTAAATTTCATACTGGCAAGGGACAAAAGAGAGGATGAAGTCTGCGGAACCAGTGAGGTTAGGACACAATTTTGCCGTGTGACAATGATTTATTGTCATTTATGTCATATATCGTTCAGTGTTTCCTCCTGACTTTGGGCAGGCTGAAGAAACTATGTGCATATCTCTTCACTTAACACAGCTTTTGCCTCTAAACTTAGGACAGCCACCAGCCACTCTCTCAGCTACCATTTACTTGGAAAAATCTCGGTCCTTACAAACACTGACTGCTACACCTTTCTTCACCATTCTCTTAAGAACTCACTTCATGGCAATGCCCCCAACATAGTAACATTTCAGTTCACTTTGCCTTGCTGTTGCAGCCGGCTCTGGTCCCTGGGGCAGTACATACAGGCACCGGCTCAGAGAACATGTCTGCCAAGATAACAACCGGGTATGTTCATGCAACTAGCTTACATGTGTTTGCAGCCGGGATAGAACATGTATCTGTACCCAACTGCACTGCCTCTAGCTGCTACAAAAACCTGTGCAGCTGGGACTTGTACTGGAAACGTTCCCTCTGTACTGTGTTTTCAGAGGATTTAGTTGTTGCCTTTCCCCCTCCAGGTAGAGTCTCCAAGCTCTGCGGCTATACTCACTGGGGCACTGGCTGCACCTACCTGGGAAGAGATGCTACATGGAGAGTCGCCATCTTCTCTTTCATCCACCTCAAGACACGTGCTTGGGGAGTGAACAGAAGCAGCTGCACTGTGCAGGTAGGGTAGCTCTATTATATAGTGCTGTTAATTACTGAGGTTACTTACAACAGACAGGTCATTACAGGGCTTCACATGCTCAGGAGCTGTTTGCAGTAGCGCTAAACATGACAGTAGCCATCACTCACTACCTTCTGGGGCTGTAGTTAAAAATGCAAGTTCTAATGAACCGTGAGCACAGGGCTCAGGGCTGACCAGTAGTAATGTCTACTGCTGTGGCTCGTCCCAAGTCTGGCAAATAATTAAAAAAAAAAATTAGGCTGGAAGGGGCCTCTGGAGGTCTCTACTTCAACTCTCTGCTGAGGGAGAGAACCCCACCCTGTGCTCAGGGAGAAGAGTTTTTACATCCTACCAGAACTGCTCTCTGTCCAATCTGGGTGCATTGTCTCTTGTCCTTCAAGAGGAGGCTGAGTCCATCTTCTCTCTACCACCTACACCTGGAGGCCACCGATACTAACCTGAGACCCAGGGTTGCTACAGCCAGCACATGAAGTTGCCACTCAAGATGGCCTAGCAGAGGAACAGAACAGATTAGCCTTAGATGGGCAAAGCCTGGATTCCAGTGCCTGAAAGCCAAGCTCAGGCTTTTTCTCTCTGTGAGTCTGTGGTGCAGGGAGTCAGACTTCAAAGGTGTACCCAGGGCTCGACTTGAAGCCCCCAGGGTTCCAACTCCTCAGCAGTGAGGGGTCACTGCAGCTCTGCCCATCTGAGCCCGCTCCAGGGCCAACAGAATGAAGGAGCCAAGGGAGCATTTGACCTTGAGCGATTAGTAACGGCTTGCCTGCAGCAGGCATTGCAGCTTGTGTTGGTTATTAACCCACCAAAAAGCATTTGTAGAGACGAACTGGTAAGACCCCAAATTAAATGAGATATGTGCTATGATTTATTGATGGTCATTAGCAAGGTCAAAATGAAAAGAAATGTTTCCATTGTGAAGTAGAAAAGAGAGAGTATTTGTGTTCAGAATACTGCCATGTCTTCAGCATGGCCAAGCCCCTCCTCACACTCACAGTGGGATATTAGCGTGTTTCTTCCAGGGACTGGGCTGTGTTTTACTAGCCAGCACATCTAGGTCATGGCAGATGCGCCTGCGGGTGGTCGAAGGTTGGATGATATCATCAACAAATCCTGTAAAAAAAAAAAAAAGGCAAAACACTAAAATCCCCTGACCAACCATGAAGTGTTTGCCTCTCAACCTTCTCTGTCTAGGTTTTAATATAAATTCGCAGAATCAAAGCAGTATTTGGAATAAACAGTTCACAAATTACAAATTAACTGAAGAAAATAGTTTAAAATAGCCTGAAAAGGAAATACTCCTGTTACAATAGTTTTTAAATTAGAAACACTTGGTTTTTTTAATTTTCACAAAAGTTAGCAAGCCCAAAAGTGTGGTAAGGAGGGGGCTTTACTCACCGAGTACTGCACCTCTTTCTGCAAAGTTTTAGACATACCATCTCCTTCCATCTACTACTAGTAGTCTGATTTAAAGGTTTGGATGTGTTGATTAGAAGAGATGGCCCTCGACTTTGCACATGCAGGAGTGGGTTTCTAAATACTGTACATATTGGCTGTGCTAGGAAACAGCTTGGCTAAGTCTTCCCAGCCCTGTGGCACTATTAACAGGATTTAAATGCAGTACAAAACAAATCAAGAGTAAGCCAGCAGAGCTGACTCCAGAGTCTACAGAACTGCCTGCCAGAGCACAGATAATGCTTCAGAGCTAGTGGGAAAATTCAGAAGTAAAAACAGTGAGAAAATTTACTCCGAAGAGTCCTGGGGAACATCACTGAACTGAACTAGACTCTGTTCCTTTCTTAAGGCCACTGGTCTGCATCTAGGACTGGCAAAGAGACTGTCAAAGCACCTGTACTTTTAAGGAAAAGGCTGAGATTTGAC